TCGCATCTTCAGCTTTTTACGTACATGTACTGTCACCATATCGTCGTCTTCGAGTGTGACGATTCAGCATGGCGTCGTTGCGCTGGATACTTCCATCAGGAGGTCGTGCAGTGTGGCCCATGCCAACCTTGCGCGGCTCTCGCCGGACATTTCGGGCGGGCGGATGTTGGTGGTGAATATTTTTACGCTGGCCCAGCCATCTTCGATGTGCTCGTGCAGCGATTCCAGCGTGCGCTGAGGAATCTCGCCCAACACCATCAGGTGGTGGGCGTAGTCAGCGTAGGAGTTGCCACGCCAGGAGTTGGTGCGCTCCTGGATGGCCTCGGGGATGGTGTTGCCGGGATGATGGATGGCAAAGTCCATCAGCGTGGTGGTGCCGCCAAACAGCGCGGCGCGGCTGACCTGTTCCGGCGGAGCGGTGCGCAGGTTGCCCGGCCCCATGATGGGAGCGTCGATGTGAGCGTGGGGCTCGATGCCGCCGGGGACGACAACTTTGCCGGTGGCGTCAATGACGCGCGTGACGTCGTCCGTCATGGTGTTGGGCGAGGTGATAGCGACGATTTTCTCGCCCTGGATGCACACGTCCCAGTCGCCCACACCCCAGGGTGTAACCACTTGGCCGCCGCGGATTATCAGGTCCAGCATAATATCCTCCCTGGTGAGAATCAGTTGGTATGGCTGTCGGATTGGCCGGTCGGCGCCAGTATAGCGCAATTTGGGTTGTTGGACAGTTCAGCGGGCCGGGCATTCGTTGTCGAGCCATCGGCCATCCTCGAACACGTAGAGGTACCGGACGGGTTGCGTTACCGGCGCATCGTTTACCAGCAGTTGCACCAGCACGACTGCCTGGCCATCCTCCAGCTTACTCACCGCCAGCACGTTAGCCTCAACTTTAGAATCGCCGAACAGCGCCCGGAAGGTATCCACGTCGCCCAACAACGCCGTCGCGTCCGCCTGGCATACCACCCGGAACGTTGCCAGAGCAGCCGGCAGGTCAGGCTCGGGTTCAGCCAGAATCGCGCTCAGGAAATCCTGCAGCAACTGCGACACGCTGCGGGCAATGTAATCCTCGGTGTGGCTGGCCGGGTCGCCGGTAATTGCGCCGGAAATCGGCCGGGGAGTGTAGGTAGGAGGCGCGAGCGTGGGCGTCGCCGTTGGTTCAGGCGTGACAGTGGGTTCGGGCGTTGCGGTCGCGGGAGGAGGCAGGGTCAGCATCAGAGCAGGCAACGCCGTCGGCGCTGACACGCAAGCCAAAGACACCACAGCGGCAAATAGAGCAAGTATCAGGAACGGCCCGAAATGTGTGATGGCTTTGGAAGCGCGATCCATAACAATCTCGACAGGGAATACAGGGTTGGGAGAATACAAACCTGACGACAATAGCACCTTTAGCGCAACGATGCATCAAGCCGAAGCCGCCAATACGGTGAGGTATCGACGACCGCGACAACACCACGAACCAGGGCTTTTCACTTCCTGGCCATCAGCAATCGGTGTTAAACCAGCGGCCGTTTTCATACGACAATCGGTCGCCCAGCCCGGTGAGCCCCCCAAGGTCGAATAACCCTTTTTTTAACCCGAGGCCAACGCCCTGCGGTCGTTTATGTGTCAAGCGAACACGCCCAGATATCGTCGACAAGCGTGCGTAGAGATGGGCTCAGGGTAAGGTGCGTTGCCTTGTTCCTTCGACGGGCTCGAAATGCGCGGTAGTTACGTCTGCACGAGCGTCGGCACAAGGGGCGCCCATCGCCGCCGGGCTAGTCAGCGATGGGCGTGTATACCGGGGGAGCGTTATCACCCCGTCCAAGCACCGTCTCATCGAGGAATTAATGAGGTGCGAGGCGGTGCGTGGTGTAGGGAGCCGGCCTTAGTTGGGGAACCAGGCCACCGAAGAGATTTCGCTGAACTCCCGGTCGAGTTTGGTCCACGATGCGCCGGCGTTGTCCGACTGGTACAGGTAGCCGTACCGGCTGCCGGCCAGCAGGAAGTCCGGGTTTTGGCGCTGGGAGTTTACCACCCACATAGCCGTGTTGGGTTCGACGGGCAGATTCAGGCTTTCCCAGTTGGCGCCCGAGTCCTGCGAGCGCATGATCACGCCGGTGGAACCGGGGGTTGTGTCGCCGAAGGTCGTGTAAATGGTCTGCGGGTCGTCGGCCTTGACCTTGATACCGCGGGGGTAGCCCAGCGGGAAGTTCTGCCGCACGTCGAGGTTGCGCCACGAACCGCCATCGTCGTCGCTGAGAAACACGTCGTCGTTGACCATAACGACCACCCGATGGGGCGGGCCGGCGGTTACGGTAACGTTGTGAATGTCCATGTTGGGGATAGCATGATGATCTATGGTTTCCCAGGTGTCGCCGCCGTCGGCGCTATGCCGCAGGCCATCCACTTCAATGCCAACCCACACGCTGTTGCCGTTGGTGGGGTCAATGGCAATGCCGGTAACGCGCGGGACGCCCACCGCCGGGCACTCCGCGGCAACTTCCACCGGGCGCAACTCCCAGCTTTGACCGCCGTCGCGGGTGCGGTAGATGCGGCAAGGATTCGGAGTGCCGGTGCCGGCGAATCCCACCTGCGGGTTGGACGGGTCGAACGCGATGGCCCAAACCGCTGTGTCGTTCATAATGGTGTTAACGCGATGCCAGGAGTCCCCGTTATCGTCGCTGCGGATGATGCCACGGTCGCAGCCGGCGAGAACCGCGCTGTCGCTGCCGGGCACCGGCGTCAAACATCGCACCACCGCATCCGAGTGGATGCCCTGGGTTATGCCCACCCGTCGCCAGGATTGGCCGCTGTCAACGCTGCGCATTACGCCCTGTCCGGCGGTGCCAACCAAAATCGTGATTCCGTCTGCCATGATAACGCCTCCTTATTGCCGTCTAATCGGCTGATGGGGGGTTCGATACAGTTGCCGACATGATACCGCCGCCGAGGTCGGAATGCTACCGCGCAGATTGATTCAGCTGATTGATAGGATTTGATGCTAATAGCGCGCAATGCGAATATCTTATTGCGACCAGGAGATACGGGCGTGATTAGAAGCTACGGGGACCGAGAGACCGAATCCGTGGCGCAACGCCGACGGGTCAGAAGGTTGCCAGAAGAGATCCGTCGCCGAGCGCAAAGAAAGCTGGTTATTTTGAACAATGCTCCAGACCTCAACGACTTGTCGGCACCGCCCGATAACCGACTGGAGAAGCTGTCGGGAAACCGAGAGGGCCCATATAACATTAGTATCAATGACCAATGGCGCATCTGCTTCGTCAGGGACGAGGGTGATGCTTACGAAGTAGAAATAGTTGACTATCACTGAACGCTGTTCGTGAGATGGAGGGAACAGGTCATGCGTGATTCCACGCCGGCGAAAGCTCCACCGATTCATCCGGGCGAAATTCTGACTGATGAGTTCTTGCGTCCGTTGAAAATATCCCAATACCGATTGGCAAAGTCAATTGGAGTCGACCCTCGTCGGATCCATGCGATAGCCAATTGCGAAAGGTCGATTACGGCACAGACAGCCCTTCTGCTGTCGCGGTTTTTCGGCAATTCGCCAACTTTCTGGATGGGGATACAAACCCAATACGATTTGGAGAATGCGGCTGACGCGCTGGCCGACCAGCTGGAACTGGTGGTTCCCATGCAGACAAATTAACTGCGCCGACACCCGGTCTTTGGGTGTCGGCCGATGCTCCTCGCGCCGCGGGAAATGGTAAGCCAGCTCGAATATTTAAAAGCCACGGCGTCGGCCCCAGTGCATGACCGGAACCGACGCCGCAGAAAGTACCGATGGAGAGAGTTAGTTACCGTCGCCCGAGCCGGCTGGGGCCTGGGCCGGAATCGTGGTGGGAGCGGGGGCGGGCGCCATATCTTCTCGCATCTCTGCGGGCAGGTCCTGCTCCCATTCGGGCAACTGGTGCCGGTGGGTGTTAGGCAGGAACACAATGGTAATCACACCGACGAGGCTCATCACGAAAGATAGCGCAGCGGTTGCCGCGTAACCACCGGTCAAAGCCAGGAGCAGGCTGCCCAACAGCGCGCCGCTGGCCATTCCGGCTCCCGCGCCCATCATCTGGAATCCGTAGGTCGTACCGATGGGGGCGTTGCCGTAATACTGCCGGTTGATGATGGGGAAAGCGGACATTTCGCCGCCGAAGCCGATACCGAACAGGATGGCAAACAGGTAGAACATCCAGATGGCTGGGTAGAACAGAATGGCAAAGAAGAGTAACGCCACCGGCGCGACCTGGAGGAAGAAACAGACTGCCATTACCCACTTGCTACCCAACATATCGGCGGCGATTGGGACGCCGAAACGGGTGACCGTGCTAACCAGACTCATCGTGGCGGCAGCGCCCACAGCGATCGCGGTGGCGCTCAGCAGCGCGGCGTCCCCAGCGCCCCCATAGCCGCCAGCCGGCTCCAGAGTGCTGATTATCATTGCCGGCAGGAACACGATCACGACACTGTGGCCAGCACAACCCCAATAGTGGATACCGATAAGGTTCCAGAATGCCGGCGTGCGGCGCACTTGGCGCAAGAATGTGCTGGTTCGCGCCTTGGCTATTGCGCCCGTGGCAGGAGGGCGTCGAGCCGGAGTATCGGCATCGGCTCCCAACTGGCGGAGACCTACGTCCTCAGGAGTATTGTGAAAGGCGCGTATCAGCAACAGGAGGATGACACCACCCACGATACCGGGGATCCAGAATGCCATCCGTATGCCGAGGCTCTCCGGAGTGCCCACGGGAATCCAGGCGCTCCAACTGACGCCGTCACCGCTGGTGAACCAGAATACCAATCCGACCATTATGGGCCCGGCGATGACAGGACCCAGGCCCTGAGACGACTGCAACAAACCCATCCCCAGGCCCAGGTGCTTGCGGAACCATGAGGTTACGGACACCGTTAGCGGAACCTGGAAAATGCCCATTGAAGCACTGAGAATGATGCCGAAGAACAAAAACAGGTGCCAGACTTCGGTCATAAATCCGGTCAGAATCATCCCTACGATGTACAACGACGCGCCTATCATCATGGTTACACGGGCGCCGTAGCGGTCACCCAGCCAGCCAGCCGCCGGCCCGAAGGCGCCGGAGATGACCCATTGCAACGAGAAGGCTAGAGTCACCAGCCAGACTTCCCAACCAAACTCGATGGCAATGATCGGCACCATAGCCGGAAACGACATCCGGAATGACGATGACACCAGGCGCATCACCGATGTGATTACGACGATTACCCAAGCGTAATGGATACGCTGCCCGCCAAGTTGGAACTGGTCGGGGCGGAGATTCACTGTGGCCATAGCACTCTCCCTCGATTGGCGGCAGTATGCTACCGGAATCAATAACCTGTCAAGGAAATGCACGGCTTACTATCACCCAATGATATAATCTGTACACAGTTCGTTGCGTACCCCGGACACCCGCCAGCAACCGGCAACAATGACCCAACAGCGCTCCGAAATTCTGATAATCTCCGTTGCAGGGATGACCTGCGCCGCCTGTGTCCACCACGTAGGCGAAGCGCTGCGGACGGTGCCCGGTGTGGGCGAGGTCAGTGTGAATCTGGCCACGTCGCGGGCGACGGTTAGCCTGGATGCCGCCACCGCTGCCCCACCCATCGAATTGCTGGCCGACGCGGTGTTGGCCGCTGGCTATTCGGTGCCCGCCGAACGCAACGTGTATCCAGTGGCCGGTATGACCTGTGCCGCCTGCGTCCACCACGTGGGCGAGGCGTTGCGGACGGTGCCCGGCGTGTCCAGGGTATCGGTAAACCTGGCCACCGCCACCGCCGCTGTGGAGCATCTGCCCACCGCGGTGGAGCCGGCGGCCCTGGCCCGCGCCGTCGCCGATGCCGGGTATCAGTTGGACACCACCGCCACCGGCGCGCAACGGGGCGATGCACGGAGCGAGGAAGAACGCGCGATGCGGCGGCGGTTGACGGTGGCGGCATTGGGCGCCGCGGCGCTGTTGCTGGGTAGTTTCCCGCTGCTACCGTGGGTAGACTGGCTGCTGGCGTTCTGGTGGTATCCGCCGGCGCTGTGGGCGGTGGCCACACCAATTCAGCTATGGGCGGGCTGGCCGTTCTACGTTGCCGGCTGGGCCGGTATGCGTCGCCTGCAACCCAATATGGCACATCTGACGCTCTGGGCCACGGTCGGTTGCTACGGTGTACAGTCGGCGTGGCGGTGGTTGGTATTCATGCTGGCGGCCCCGTCTGCGTTGGCGTTCATCGGAGGACGCCAACTGCACTTCGACATGGCGGCAATCATCGTGGCGCTGATACTGCTGGGGCGATGGCTGGAAGCGCGGGCGTGTAGCGCACGTTCCGACTGCCATAGGCGCGATTGTGTATTTTTTGAGACCGCAGACAGCTCACCTGATCGCTGCCGACGGCGAAAACGACGACGTTCCCGTCGAGCGGTGTTCTGTTGAGCGGTGGAGTCTGGGGGACATCTCGCGGTGGTTCTGGCGAGCGAATCCGGTCGATGGCGAGGGTGGGGACCGTCAGCTCGTCGCATTAGACCAATCGGCGATTGACCGGCGAAGTATGCCGTCGAAAATCGGGTTCGGCGACCCGGTATCGCCGGCGCGCTAAACATTGCGGGCGCGTTCACGATGCTCTGCCGCCGCTGTCGGTTCGGACACGACGATGGTTTGGCACGGTCATACGCCCTGGTTGTGAGAAGCGCAGGGTTTCCGCCGCGCCGGTGAGCGGTGGCCGACGCGTTGCCGCTGGTTTGTGCCGGGCCGTGGGGGGTGGCAATTGCCGCCGCCATTATCTGGCTGTTCCTGGGGCGGGACCGTCATGCCAGTAGCCATCCTGACGCTGGTGGCGGTCTCATCATTGCCTGCCCATGCGCCCTGGGTTGGCAACGCGACGGCAATCATCGTGGAGTAGGCCGGGGAGCGAACGCGTATCTGATTCGTAGCGCCGCGCTTTGGACGAGCCCACGCCGTTGGCGTGGTGGCCGTGGACACAAACGACGCTGACCACGGCAACCCGGAAGTTACCGACGTGTTAGCCACAGATGGAGTCGCCGCCCAGCGATGTGCATCCGCTACGCTGTATCCGACGAGCACGTCGCGAGCAGCCGGTCGGCAGAGCCGTCGTTGCGCGCGGGGTTGGCAGACGGAATGACGCCGACAGCAGTGTCAGACTTCGCGGCTCATCGGGGGGCCGGAGTAACCGCCACCGTGAATGGAAGCAAGGTTGCCGTCGGAAATGCTGCCCTGCTCGCCGACGCGGGTGCGTCGATTCCTACGGCTCTATCCGATGCCGCAGACGGGTTGGCCGCGCTAGTGGCGCAGCCCATCCTATCGCGTTTACGCATTCTCCGCCTCCATTCCTCCTCTATTCGCACGCCGATGTTCGTGTCCAAAGACGGCAACCCGCTGGGCGTGATCGCCGTGGCAGATGGCATCAAGTCGAATGCGGGGGAAGCGGTTGCGACACTGCGGTCGCTGGGGGTGCGCACCGTGATGCTGACCGGCGACCGGCCCGAGGTGGCGGCGTCCGTGGCGGCGGCTTGCGGCATCTCCGAGTATCGCGCCGGTATGCTGCCGGCCGACAAGGCCGGAGTGATCCGCCAATTGCGCGCCGAGGGCAACGTCGTTGCGATGGTTGGCGACGGGATCAACGATGCGCCGGCGTTGGCATCAGCGGACGTTGGCATCGCCATGGGCGGCGGCACCGATATTGCGCGCGAGTCGGCGGCCATACGCTGATGCGGAGCGACTGAGGCGGTGCCACGGCGCTGCGGCTGTCCCAAAGCCACATGCTAGACCCATCCGTCATGCATCTCTTCTGGGCGTTCATCTACAACGCGCTGCTGATCCCGGTAGCGGCCGGAGCGCTGTATCCAGTATTTGCCGCGTTGGGAGGAGTGCCCGGCGGCCTGACATTCTTCTTCGGCGACGCTGGGTTCCTGAACCCGATTCTGGCTGCGCTGGCGATGGCGTTCAGCTCGGTAAGCGTGGTCAGCAACTCGCTGCGGCTGCGAGCGGCCAGGTTGGTGTAACGGGCCGAGGGTGACATTTTGGCACGGGAACCGGATGCGCTGACCGTGCGATGATCCGCTTCTGTTACGCTCCCTTCTCTTCTCTTCGCGGTTTGGATGTCATCACCACCCTCCGCACTGATCCAAGGCGGGATATGGTCATGGCCCGTAACGAATGGGTGCGGGAATTTCGTTGCAGCCATCAGCAGATTTAGCTGTCCAACCCGAGTTACATTCACTCAGGTGATGCACCTATTTTGTGCTTCTGACACTGCATGACCGCTGGCGGGCGAGAACGACTGACCAACACCAACTCACCGCATCCCACACTTACGAACACCGGATAACACGTCGAAATGATCAAATTGACCCTGCTGCTGTCGTTGCTCCTGGTACTGGGTTGCGGCGGGATAGAACAGGACAGTAACCAACCCGTCAACACGCTATCTCCCACTGCCACGCCGGACCTGGTTGCCACGGTGGATGCCAGCGTGAGAATGATCCTGGCCGACATTCCCACAGTTACACCGCGATCTACCCCGACGCCGCAGCCCACCGCTACGCCGCAACCGACTGCTACGCCCCAGCCAACTGCTACGCCGCCACTGGACCCTACGCCCCAACCGACGGCCACACCGGTGCCGACTGTAGCCGTGAGGCCGACGGCGACGCCCTCGCCATCCTTAGCACAGGTTATCGAACGGGTTAGTCAATCCGTGGTTCGCATCCGGTATTTTGAGCGGTCAATCGGTTCAGGGTTCATCTACAAGACCGCTGGCCAAACGCGGGTCAGCATTATCACGAACGCTCACGTAGTGGACGAACTGGTTCTTTCCAAATTGTTCGTAATCATGCCCGACGAGCAAAAACTGGAGGTCGTGGCAGTCAGAGGCGGTAACCCACGCGCTGACGATATCGCAGTTTTGGAAGTGCGGCATGCGGCTCCGGAAACTCTGCCTGTGGTAAATTTTGCCGCGCTCGAAAATGCCAGAGTGGGCGATACCGCCATCGTGTTGGGGTTCCCCTACGCCAGCGTATTGGGATCGGAATTGTCGATTACGTCCGGCATTATCTCGGCGAAACAGGAATGTCCCTGGTTCAGCGATGAGGATGATAATGACGATGATGTACCATGCGTTCGGACGGATGCCGCCATTAATCCCGGAACCAGCGGCGGTCCGCTCATCAACGACAAAGGTGAAGTAATCGGCATTAACACTGCTACTTATACGAACACCGAGGGTATCGGATATGCCATCGCGTCGACGTACATCGAGCAGTGGCTGTCCGACCGGTTAATTGACTAGGGCGGCGCTTCGCCGCAACGGTGAGATTATGGCAACGGCAACCGATCCCATCTGTCTGATGCAGGTGGATACAGACAACCCCAACGGCGGCACCAGCGAACACGCCGGCGAAACGTACTATTTCTGCGCCCCTGGCTGCCGGATTGCGTTCGAGCGGGACCCGGAGGGGTGGGCATCCGGACGCAACAAGCCAATCTCAATGGATGCGCCCCAATCCCAGCCGTTGACTATCGTCCGCCGCCTCTTTCGCCGCGATAAGTAACGTCAGGCACTTATCCTGGCGCACACGGAAGTTAGACGTTCGCGCCGCAGCAACGTTTGTACTTGCGTCCGCTGCCGCAGGGACACGGGGCGTTGCGACCTATCTTGCGGCCGCCGCGCGGAGCATTGACGGTGCGACTACCGTTCACCGCCGCCATTGGGCTGACCGGTGTGCGCAGCGCATCCCGTCGCCGACCACTGCGGCTGGCGCCGTTGTTTTGCGGCCCGTTACCGGAACCCGCCGCATCGCCGTTTGCCGAGTTGCCCTGACCTGGAGCCTCGGGCGACAGCGTAACGTGGAACAGGGTGTGGGTAACTTCCCGTTGCATCTGCCGGGTTAGTTCCGCGAAGGCGCGCTGGCCTTCCGAGCGATACACGGCCAGCGGATCGCGCTGACCGACGGCGTGCAGACCCACGCCGGTGCGCAGGTTTTCCATGTTGGTGAGGTGATTCACCCAGTGGGTGTCGATCGACTTCAGCAGTAGCAGGCGCAGCAGGGTCTGCATCTGCTCCGTGCCGAGGTCTCGCTCTTTCGCTTCGTAGACGGTTTCGGCGTGTTGATGCAGGATGCTGTCGATTCGCTCGCGGCTGACCTGCAACATTTTTGTCCGCCGTGTCGATCTCGGTCGGCAGGGGGCAAATCTGACCCAATGATGCCAGCAGCCCGTCTGCGTTCCAGTCGTCGGCGTGGCGAGACTGAAGATGGTTGGCCGTCAGTTGCTCGAATTCGGTGCGCAGCATCTCCAGCAAGCGCTCGCGCAGACCTTCGCCGGCCAGGATACGGGAACGCTGAGTGTAGATAACTTCCCGTTGCTGGTTGAGCACGTCGTCAAAGTTCAGCAAGTGCTTGCGCACATCGAAGTGGTAACCCTCAACCTTCACCTGTGCGCTGCTGATGGACTTGGTGATGATCTTGTTCTCCAGCGGTTCGTCATCCTTGAGGCCAGTCCAGCTCATCACATTCTTGATGCGATCGCCGCCGAAGCGTTGCATCAGCTCGTCTTCCAGCGCGACGAAGAACTGGCTGCTGCCGGGGTCGCCCTGACGGCCGGCGCGACCACGCAGCTGGTTGTCCACGCGCCGTGCTTCGTGGTGCTCGGTGCCAATGACGTGCAGGCCGCCCAAATTGACCACCTGCTGATGCTCGTCCTGCCAACCTTCCCGGTCGGTATCGGAGCCGCCCAGCACGATGTCGGTGCCGCGCCCCGCCATGTTGGTGGACACGGTAACGGAACCGGCCCGTCCGGCCTGCGCCACGATGGTTGCCTCGTGCTCGTGGTTGCGGGCGTTGAGCACCTGATGTTCGACACCGCGCTTGCGGAGCCGTTCGCTCAGCTCTTCCGACGTTTCAATGGAGGTTGTGCCCACCAGCACTGGTTGCCCCGACTGGGAGCGGGTGGCGATGCTCTCCACCACGGAGCGCCACTTGCCTTCGGCGGTGGGAAAAATCAGGTCAGTGGATTCGGCGCGCACCATGGGCAGGTTGGTCGGCACCGCCACCACTTCCAGCCCGTAAATCTTGTAGAACTCGTCAGCTTCGGTCACAGCGGTACCGGTCATGCCGGATAGCTTCTGATACATCCTGAAGTAGTTTTGCAGGGTGATGGTGGCGTAGGTAACGCTCTCCCGCTGAATCTTGCAGCCCTCTTTGGCCTCCACCGCCTGATGCAGCCCGTCAGACCAGCGGCGACCGGACTGCAGACGGCCGGTAAACTCATCAACGATGACGACCTCGCCGGTCTGGACCACGTAGTCTTTATCCTTGACCTTCTGAACCTGAGCCACCAGCGCGTTTTCAATGTATTGAACCAGATGGAAGTTCTCGGTGTCGTATAGATTATCCACCCGCGTCCAGCGCTCCATCTTGCCGATGCCCTCCTGGGTCAGCGAGATGGCCTGCGAGCGTTCGTCGATTTCATAGTCATCATACAACTGCAATCGAGGAGCGAGCCGGGCGAAGGTGTAGTAGTGCTCCACCGGTTGTTGGGCCGGCCCACTGATAATGAGCGGCGTGCGGGCTTCGTCAATCAGGATGTTGTCAACCTCGTCAACGATGGCGAAATGACGACGGCCCCGTTGAACCTGCCCGTCCACGCTGAGAGCCATGTTGTCGCGCAGGTAGTCGAAACCAAATTCGTTGTTGGTGCCGTAGAGCACATCGGCCTGGTAAGCCTCGGATCGGTGCGCCGGAGCCAGGAACTGGAAGCCACCCTTGCCCACGTTGGTGAGTTCTGGGTCATAGATATAAGCGGCGTCGTGCTGCAGGCAACCCACCGACAGGCCCAGCAGATGGAAGATAGGTCCCATCCACACCGGATCGCGGCGAGCCAGGTAGTCGTTGACGGTAACGATGTGCACGCCGTCGCCGGTAAGGGCGTTCAGGTAGGCCGGCAGGGTTGCAACGAGGGTTTTGCCCTCGCCAGTTTTCATCTCGGCAATCTTGCCGTCGTTGAGCACCGCCCCACCGATGAGCTGTACGTCATAGTGGCGCTGGCCCAGGGTGCGGCGGGCCGCCTCCCGCCCCACGGCGAAGGCTTCGGGCAACAGGTCGGCCAGCGTTTCCCCAGCCGACAGCCGGCGGCGGAACTCGACGGTTTTGGCGCTCAGGCCCGCGCCGTCCAGACTGCGCATATAGTCTTCCAGCGCGTTTACCTGCGGCACCAGTTGTCCGCTCAGTTTCTCGGCGGCGCGCTCTGGAGTATCGCCGACGATCCGTTTCAGCAAAGAGACCATGATTTACCCTCGAATAATGCCCATCCTGGCCCATTCCAATGGGGACAGAAGATCAGCCGGGCCCAATTTCTACAGCGCCCCGGCGAACGAATGCTGCCAGCACAGCACGCTGTCAGTATAGCAAGGTTATGGAATATACGCCCGGGAGAGGTCGTGCGGATTTCACCGCGAAAACAATTCTGCGACCGATTGACCGGCTCGCAGCGGGCGTTGCGTCGAAGATGTGGGAACCACCCCCTGCCTAACGTTCACCGTCCACGATAGGGGCAAGGTCGCCGTTAGTCAGCGTGCAGCGGCGGCGTACCACTCCGCGCCCTCGTGGCCCGGTTCGGGTAGCACGAAGCCGCCTTCCATCGTCCAGGATGCCGGGTTCTCGGTGATGCGTCCGTCAATCTGCTGCGGCGAGACGTTGGCTATCTCGCAGAAGGCGTTGGTCAGGTCCGGCCAGCAGTTGTTGCTTCACTTCTTCCGGACGCCCGGCGCGGTTCGCGCCGTCCAGGTAGTAGGCCGTGCCAAATTCGGGTGTCTCACCGGCCGTGTCTCGATGAAGGTAACCGACACGAAGCTACGCGGCGCGCCAGTGGATCCGCAGTGAATGTCGATGAAGGCGCGGGCGATATTTTGGCGCTGTTCGAAGGAAACGGTGTCTTTGGGGACGATACAGCGGTAGTGCGGCATTCTGTTGACTCCTTGCTTGGTCTTTGCCGGAGGTTGCTACGGGAGGATTGCTGCCGGATGGTTGCATCCGGAGGCTTGTTCCGGCGGTTTTGACCCCTCCCGATGGAGAGGTGATTATTGTTCTCTACGGTCTCGGGCGGAAACGACCAGTTCGTGAGTCGTACAGCCGGTCAGCTCCATCCACATGTCCTGAATTTCCTGCATCAACTGCACTCGGGTTGTTTGTTCACAACCGGGTGGGATCTCGCCTCTTACGGCCGAAGTGGTAGACAGTTCGCCGCCACGAAAGCCGTAGCCGTGGGGAATCTCGATAAAGTTAACCGATAAATCGTCCGGCGCGCCGCCCAGAATGGAAGTGCAGACTCTAGCCAACCCCGACGCCAGGGCCGGGCGCAGATCGTGGGGTATTATCCCTTCCTGGATCGTGCAGTTGAACGTAATTGATGCCATTGTTTCGGTAGGGACACGCGACGGGACGCGCCAGTGTATGATGTTTCACCGCAGAATATCACAGTCGTTTGATGGCGTGCAATTGAGTCTGGCGTCTCACGCGTGCCCGCTTAATCTGCCATTGCGATGAGCAAAGGGAGGTGGCAGCCTCGATGAGTTTGAGCAAACGTCGACGAACCGCCGTTGCTACGGCGCCGGGATTGCCGCGCTACGCTCGCAATGACAAAGTGGGTACGTATGAGCGCCTGGCGTGCGAGAACATCAGAACGATTGCTGGTTATGGACCCTCGCCATTTTTCCGGACGTCAGAGGTTGAATCATGTGTAGAAGTATCAAAACATTACGGTCGTCGGAATCGCCGGCCACCGGGGAAGAGATGCAGGCCGCCGCGCTGCAATTCGTTCGCAAGGTGAGCGGCTATCGCACCCCATCCAGAGCTAACGAGGCGGCCTTCAATCAGGCCGTAGCCGACATCGCGCAGGCGACCGACCAACTATTGAAGTCGCTGCACACCCGAACCCACGCGTGAATAGGCAACCACTGCCAGCCGAGGCGACCGGCACGCGTGCCCAATTAATTCTGTCATTGAAAGCATCCTTCGACAGGCTCAGGACGAACGGGAAGCCGTGGCCCGGTCCCCTACGACGTGGCTGGACCAAGGGGCAACCGAAAGGCCCTGCGCCCGGGGCCAGCAATGACGCGCCCGGTTCGGTGTGCTATGTTAGGCGGCGCAACACGGCAGAAATGCCGAACTACACCTCAGAAACTCGACCCAACAGGCCACATCAGGCCAATCATCAGGAAGGTAATACCATGCCCAACATGACCGGCGGCCAGGCCCTAATGCGCTCACTGTATCTGGAGGGCGTGCGAGTCATTTTCGGGCTGCCCGGCGTGCAGCTCTACCACGCTCTGGATGCGCTGAACGACGAGCCGGGCATCCGGTTCATCACCACCCGCCACGAGCAGGCTACCACCTATATGGCCGACGGTTACGCCCGCGCCAGCGGCGGCGTTGGCACTGCGTTGATGGTTCCCGGTCCCGGTTTGCTGAATGCGTCCGCCGGCATCAGCACGGCCTTCTCCGCGTCATCGCCGGTGCTGGTGGTTTGCGGGCAGATTGAACGCGACCTGATCGGCTCCGACCGCGGGATGCTGCACGAAGTCAACGACCAGCAGGATACCATCCGCCCCATCACCAAGTACGTGGAGCGAATCATGACGCCCGAAGCGGCCCCCGGCGCGGTCCACGAGGCGTTCCGTCAGCTGACCACCGGGCGGCCTCGTCCAGTGGAGGTTGAGATGCCGCCGGAAACGATGGCCGACGTAGCCTCCGTAACCCTGTTCGAGTCCGAACGCTACCCCAAGCCCTCCGCGCCGGCCGAGCGGGTATCCGAGGCGGCGCGCATTTTGCGTGAAGCGCGTCAGCCTTTGATCTGGGCCGGCGGCGGCGTGATCTCGTCGGAGGCGTCTGCGGAGCTGGTGCGGCTGGCGGAGCGGCTCCAGGCCCCCGTCATCACCACCGCCGAGGGCAAAGGCGCCATCAGCGACCGGCATCCGTTGGCGCTGGGCGCGCTGCGACTCCGCAACGATCCCGTAGCCAAATCAGAACCCAACTTCGACGTCATTCTGAGTGTGGGCAGCCGGATGGCCTTCCCGGCGTGGCTGGACGGCCAGCAGGTCGTGCAAATTGACATCGACCCCGACGAATTGGGCCGCAACTGGGAAAACACCTACGGGCTGGCCGGCGACGCCGGCACGGTGATGGCCCAGGTGGACGCCGAGCTGGCCGGAACGATGACCGAAGCCCGCCCATCTTTTGCCGCCGATGCCGCCGCACTGCGCGCGCGCCGCGCCGAATCCGCAGCTGCGTCCCGAACCTCAGGAGTCCTACCTAGCAGCAGTGCGCGCTGCCGTGCCCGACGACGGCATCCTGGTATCCGGAATGACCCAGCTGGGCTACTACGCCCGCGCCTTCTGGCCCACCTACGAACCGCGCACGTTCATCACGTCCAGCTACTCGGGCAATCTTGGGTATGCGTACCCCACCGCGCTGGGCGCCAAAGTAGCCCAACCCGATCGTTCGGTGGTGGCCTTGTGCGGCGATGGCGGCTTCCTGTTCAACTCGCAGGAGCTGGCGACGGCGGTGCAGCACGGAATCAACGCCGTGGCCGTGGTGTTCAACGACAACGCCTACGGCAACGTGCTGCGCGACCAGGTGAACCGTTTCGGCGGGCGCACCGTTGGCGCGGCCCTGCATAACCCCGATTTCGTCAAGCTTGCGGAGGCTTACGGTGCGCGTGGCGTCAGAGTCCAGGGCCCCGAAGCGCTGGAATCGGCGGTCCGCGAGGCCCTCACCATTGACGCCCCCAGCCTGATCGAAGTGCCTGTGGAGATGATGCCAACGCCGTTTGAGGGGTAGGGGGCGTTATGAGCGTCCCTAACACCCTCCAACAACGCCAATTACGCCCAACGCCAATTACGCCAGAAGTCGGAGCCGGCACAGGCCTGTCGCGCTATTTCTGCCTATCGTTATTATTTACAAATACAATGTCGCGAGGTGCGCCAAACAGGCCGCACATCTGCCGCGGGCATACACCAGGAGGCTTACGGATGTCGTTATTGCGTAGTGGCGGGGTTGTTTTCGCCCTGGTGTTGCTGATGACCTTGCTCACTGTGGTCGCCTGTGGATCGGATGGCGATGAGGGCGCAAGCCCAGTGGCGCCGCCAGAGATTCCCACGGATACTCCGGTACCAACCGACACGCAATACCTCCTACCGATACAGCGGTACCACCAACTGACACGCCGGTGCCTCCCACCGATACACCAGTCCCGCCTCCGACGGACACTCCCGTTCCGCCAACTGACACACCGGAACCGACCGCGGTACGCCAGCTGGTTCCAACACCCACGCCACACCCGGGGCCGTTCACGTCGGTGGGCGCCGGAGAGCTTCACACGTGCGGAGTACGCCAAAACGGGATAATCCAGTGCTGGGGCAAGAATCAACAGGGGCAGGCCGACGCTCCGGAGGGACAAGATTTTGTCGCCGTTACCGGTGGTCACGAGCACACCTGCGGGCTGCGCAAAGACAACTCTGTGACCTGTTGGGGCGAAGAGTTCCTCGGTCGTCTGGAAGTACCTGATGAGGAGTTCGTTGCCATCGACGCCGGGCGGCACCCATGCGTGTGGTATCGTCACCGACCAGACCATCGTGTGTTGGGGCGAAAACAAGGACGGACGCTCCACGGCCCCTCCGGGCTTCTACAAGGCTGTAGCCGCCGGCGACGAGCACACGTGCGGCATCAGGCAATCCGGACAGGTAGTTTGCTGGGGCGGCAACAACTACGGCCAGGTGCGGCAAGCCCCGTCCGGCGAGTACGTAACGCTGTCCGCCGGCGGATTCCACACTTGCGCGATAGCAATCAACGGCTCGTTGGCCTGCTGGGGTTCGGACACCGGCCAACAATTGGGCGTCGAATCGGGACGTTATACGTCAGTGGGAGCCGGCAGCGACCACACCTGCGCAGTGAACGTAGACGGATTGCTGGTGTGCTGGGGGGACAACCCGAATAATCTGCACAACCTGCCGTCGACAGCTCCGCCAAACCGCCGGAGGGAACCTTCAAAGCATTGACTACGGGCGCGGAACATAATTGCGCCATCGACATCGACGATATCGTCAATTGCTGGGGATGGGACAATTTCAACCAGGCCAAACCACCCCGGCAATAACCGCCGGCGTCAACGTGCTGCGCGACCAGGTGAGCCGTTACGGCGGACGCACGGCAAGCGCAAAAAACCAGCGGACTCGCCCGTCCTCACGACACGCTTACTGGAGCCTGCCGTCCCATCCACCCATACCCGCCGAAAACCGCTGACACCTCGCGCCGTAGCACATAAACGCCTAACGCGTCTATCCTGATATCCGGCCAAGGCCTGACAGCTGTTGCATCCCATTACCAGAGAGCCAGGATCACTCATCGGCGGCCAACCCCATCAGTAATAAATCGCAGCCGGTCCAGGTGGCAATTCGCCGATATCCGACCCACGAACCAACCGACGGCGCCCCACTGGATCGCCGGGACTGTTCGGACCCGCGTGGTGGGGATGCAACCAAACAGCCAGCCGACACACCAAACCACACCAGACCAACCGGCCAACAGCCACAAGTTGGGGGTCGGTTTCAAACCTGCCCACCACACCACCAGGGAGGGCCGCATGGTCAGACAACTTACGGCTATCATCAAGCGCGAGGACGACATGTACGTCGCACTCTGCCCGGAGTTGGCCATCGCCAGCCAGGGCGATTCCGTTACGGAAGCCCGCGATAACCTGAAGGAGGCGTTGGAGCTGTTTTTCGAAACGGCTGCCAAACCTGAAATCAGGCGTAGGTTACAATAGTTGAAAGAGGTGAACTCTATGCGGCAAGTGGTTCTCTACCCAGGGGACGATGGTTATTGGGTTGTTGAATGCACCAGTCTGCCTGGCTGCGTCAGCCAGGGCGGAACCAAGCAGGAAGCGATTGCAAATATTAAGGAAGCCATCGAAGCGTACGTCGGTGCCCTTGAGGAAGACGGCTTGCCGGTTCCAGAGGAGCGGTTCGAAACGTTGGTCGTCGCAGTATGACCAGCAGAGTGCCCCGGATTTCGGGGCATGAATGCGTCCGCGCCCTAGCCAGAGTTGGATTTTATATCAGGCGTCAGCACGGCAGCCACATCATCATCCGCCGCGACGATCCCTTCGCTCAACTTGTGGTTCCCGACACCGGGAACTGGATACAGGTACGCTCCGCGCCATCATCAGACAAGCCGAATTGAGCGTAATGGAATTCTCACCATTGCTGTGACCATCAAGGTCTTGAGTTTACCCCTACCCCCACTCCCATTGTGCTATTATTCCCGCATGCGGCGTTCTGCGCCGGGAAGCCTTCCGCTTTACGACTTTCGCACAAATCAGGAGGTTATTATGTCTGGAAACTACACTATCAGCGTAGGCACCATCGGAGGCGGCCTGTCCGTCAGCCCAGACGGTGGCGAAACCTGGAGCCGTATCCGCAACCCGATGCCTAGCGAGTGCAACATCCGCGCGCTGGCCGTCGACCCCAACGACCGGCACCGCATCTACGCCGGCTCCGATACCGGCCTGTTCCGCTCCGACGACAACGGCTTCACCTGGGAATATGTCGAATCTCCCATGGACGACCTCCAAAATCTGGTCGGTGGGAGTTGACCCGTATGACAGCGACACGGTGTTTGTGGGCACGCGCCCCAACGCGTTCCGCTCCCGCGACGGCGGCAAGAGTTGGGAAGAGCTGGACCTGGGCGTAAGGATGCCCTGTCCCATCGGCACGCCGCGCACGACCAACATCATCGTTGACCCTCGGGACACCCGCACCGTGTGGGCCGGCATCGAGGTTGACGGCGTGTACCGCAGCCTGGACGGTGGCGACAACTGGACGCGCCTGCCCGACCTGGGCCCCGACCCGTTCCACGGCGACATCCACGGCATGGCCCTCAAACCAGGCCCAGAGTCCGCCATCTACTGCACCACGCCCTTTGGCATCTCCACCAGCAGCGACGAGGGAGAGAGCTGGGAGCTGCACGAGTTCCCACGCTTCCACGCCGAAGACCAGCGTTCCTACTGCCGCGGCATGGTAATCAAGCCCGACAACCCCAACGTGATGTTCGTTGGCAACGGCGATACCATCCCCGGCGTAACCGGCACCATCCGCCGCACTCGCGACGCTGGCGCCTCCTGGGACGCTCCAGAACTGTCGACGACGCCCAACTCGGTGGTGTACTGGTTTGCCGCCAGCAATCACGTCCAGGATGTCATGGTCGCCGCCAGCATCTACGGCTACGTGTACGTCAGCTCCGACGGGGGCGATAGCTGGGACAAGCTGCAGAAGGAGTTTGGCGAAATCCGTTCGCTGGCTCTGACGCCCAACAACTAGGGGAACTGCTCTAACCCTGACCCTCTCCCAAAGGGCCAGGGACTAGTCCAATTCAGCGTATTCTGCTGGCTCCTTCCTGATCGGGAGGGGCCAGTTTTCGTGCTACAATTTTGCCGCCCGGCATACGCTGATCATCAACAATTGACACATTCCCCAGGAGCGTTCCGATGCCCACTTTTGACTCCGACGGCGTTCAGATTTTTATCAATCCACCGGCGAGGGTTTCCCGCTGATCTGGAGCCATGAGTTTGCCGGCTCTTACGAGAGTTGGGAGCAGCAGGTGCGCTATTTCAGCCATCGCTACCAGGTCATCACGTACAACGATCGCGGCTATCCGCCCTCCGAGGTACCCACCGATCCGGAGGCGTATTCGCAGGACATCACCATCGAAGACCTGCGCCGGCTGATGGACCATCTGGGGCTGGAAGAGGCGTACATCGGCGGCCTGTCGATGGGCGGCAACGTTGCGCTCAACTTCGCCCTGCGCTATCCGGAGCGGTGCCAGGGCATCATCGTGGCATCGGCTGGATCAGGCACCACCCACAACGACGCCTTCCGGTCGGGCGGCGAAGCGATGGCGGCGCGGATGCTGGCCGAAGGCACGCCTCCGGTGATGAAGGACTACGGCAGCGGCCCGACGCGGGTGCAATTGCAGCGGAAAGACCCCCGGGGCTACGAGGAGTTCATGCGCCTGCTGCTGGGGCACAACGCCCGGGGCGCGGCCTACACCTTCCGCGGCGTGCAGCTGAAGCGTCCCACGATTGACCAGCTCATCCCGCAGATGAACGCCCTGCAGGTGCCCACGCTCATCATGAATGGCGACGAAGACGACCCATGCGTCGAGCCGAGCATCATGATGAAAAGGGCGATTCCGTACAGCGGTCTGGCGGTGCTGCCGCAGTGCGGGCACGCCATCAACCTGGAAGAGCCGGCGCTGTTCAATCAACTGGTGTCCGACTTCCTGACCGCCGTCGAAGCCGGGAAATGGGCCGAGCATTCACTGGGCGAAACGCCGTACACCACCGGCTCAAGGTAAAGACGCCCCTCACCCCAACCCCTCTCCCGTTGTGGGAGAGGGGCTTTTTCTGGCGGCGGGTTGTTCCCTCTCCCTCGATGGCTCGGCTTTGTACAATCAAGCGGCATAGGCTAGGTTCTGTTGACATTTCATTATAATGGCCGTATGTCAAACATCAGATTATCACCAGAACAGTGGGTCAGGGTTCTCGATTTCTTGCGTGGCTGCACCGGCCTGTACGTCGGCCAGGAAGCGGATTGCCGGCGTTTTGTCGAGGCCGTCTTATGGATTAACCGCTCTGGGGCCCAATGGCGACTGCTGCCAGCTGAATACGGGAACTGGAACAGCGTCTACAAACGATTCGCCCGTTGGACTGACCAAGGCGTCTGGGCACAAATGCATCAACATTGCTCCGACGACCCGGATCTGGAATACCTGATCATCGACAGCACGGTGGTCCGGGCGCACCCTTGCGCGGCGGGAGCTCCCCCAAAAAGGGTGGCCAGACGGCCCAAGCCCTGGGCCGGAGCCGCGGCGGGTTCAGCACCAAGATTCACGTGAGCGTGGACAGCTTGGGCAACCCCTTGCGATTCATACTGACCGGAGGGCAACAGCACGACATCACTCAGGCGGAGGAGTTAATCGCCGGTTATGCTGGCGAGCACGTACTGGCCGACAAAGGGTACGATGCCCAGGAGTTTCGCCAGCACATCCTGGAACTGGGTATGATGCCGGTCATTCCGCCCCGCTCGAACCGCAAGGAACCCGCCGACTATGACCGGCATCTGTACCGGGAGCGCCATCTGGTGGAATGCTTCATCAACAAGATGAAGCACTATCGCCGGATCTTCTCCCGGTTTGAGAAGCTGGACACCAGATACCTCGGCTTCCTGCATTTCACCGCCGCTCTCATCTGGCTACGGTGAAATGTCAACAGAACCTAGGAGCGAGTCCGAGTATTGGCTAACTAGTCTCCCCGGGCAAGCCGCGATCGATCGGCGTCAATTATTCCTGCCGGTTGACGATGCTCACTCTGGGAGGCTCTGGGCATGGGACGTCGTTCCCAACCGGTGGGGTGGACATCCCACGCGCTCGGTTAGCCGGGTGGCCCATGCTGATCCGGGGGCCAGTCGGCCGCAGCGGAACAGCTTGAGCAGGTTGTGGCCGGTGCAGATCAGGGACCACTCGCCGTTGACCTTCTCCAGTCCCCGCAGCAGGAACTGGCGGAAGCCCCGGCCCGCCTTGATCTGGCCGAAGACCGGCTCCACCGTTTCCATCCGCAGGGCGTAACGCTGGCGGCCCCGCCTGGTTTGCAACTTGCGCCGCATCCGGTCCCTGGGGGACAGGTGCTTGGGTATGCGCCCTCGGGGCGCCGGCGGAACCACTCTGCCGTGGCGGGTCTGCTCCGGCGCGACGAACGGGTCCACGCCCAGGGCCTGGAGGTCGTCGACTGCCTTTGCCGAGTAATAGCCAGCATCGGCGGATACTTCCCGGGGGACTGCACCGACGTTGTCGATGGTCTCCTGCATCATCGCCGCAGCCTGCTGCTTGTCCGAGGACTGGTTGGTGGCCCGGGCCGCCACGATCACCTGGTGGGCGTGGTCAACCACCGCCTGACAGTTGTACGCCTGCAGGAAGTCCCTACCGCCCGGCCCGGGCATGATGCGGGACTCGGCATCGGTGAAGTTGCGTTGAGCCTTGTCGTCGGGCACCCCGAGATGCTCCTTGCCTTCCGCCTCAGCCGCCGCCTGGGCCTCGGCTTCCAACGCCGCCATGGCCTCCCGTATCTTCTCCAACCGTCCCTCCCGAAAGGCCAGCTCCTCCGGCAACTCATCCCCGCGCTTATCCTGGCCATACCTGCGATCCTCCTCGTCATCGACCTCCTGAGCCCGCCGCAGCAACTCCGCCACCTCCGCCGCCAACTGCGCCTCTTTCTCTTTCATACGCTTATAACTCATCGCCTTGTGCCTGGATGCGTTGGCCCTGACCTTGGTGCCGTCCAGCGCCACATGACCCAACTTCACCAGCCCCACCCGCTGGCAAAACGCCAGCACCTGCAGGAATAGTAACTGTTCAGACTTGGTGAAGTAAATTGGCCGAAGGCGGGCTGCCAGACGCTGGCACGGGTGGCGGTGGTTATGTCATATAGAGGGAGTGGATACCGAAATTGACCTGACCACCGCCAGTCGCGATGTTCTCATCGCCATCATCGTGCAGCAACAGGCGGTCATTGCCGAGTTGCAGGTGATGATGGTACGGCTGGAGCGGCGGGTTGCCGAACTCGAAGGCCAGGCGAAACCGGGCGGCCCGCCCCGAATGCCCAGCCTCAAGTCCAGTTCGGGCCGCCAGCGCAGCAGCAGCCCAAGAAAGCAGCGACGCCACGGCTTCGCCCGCCGGCGCATGACACCGACCCATCGGGTGGAGCACGTGGTGGAGAGCTGTCCCGATTGCGGGACGCACCTGACTGGCGGCTGGGTCCAGCGCACCCGGGAAGTCATCGAGTTGCCGGTGGTTCCGGTGCAAGTCACCGAGCATGTCTTCATCGCCAGGACCTGCCCAGCGTGTCGACCCGCTGCATACCCCCAGCACAACTGGACGGCGTGGCACTGGGGCGCCAACGCCTGGGCGTCAACGTGCTCAGCCGCATCGCCACGCTGCGGGAAGAAGGGCGCCTGCCGATCCGCAGCATCCAGTGGTATCTGCGCACCGTCCATCAGCTGCGCCTCAGCGTGGGGGCCATTGTGAGCGCCATTCACCAGACCGCGCAACAGGCCCAACCAGCGGTGGCCGCGATCCTGGACCGCATCCGCGCCAGCCCAGTGGTCCACGCCGACGAAACCGGCTGGCGTCAGAATGGGAACAACGGTTACGTCTGGACTTTCAGCACCCCCACCGAACGCTACTTCCTGCGGCGGGGTCGGGGCAAGGCGGTGGTGGACGAAGCGCTGGGCGAGTCATTCTCCGGAGTGCTGGTCAGCGATTTCTACGCCGCCTACCACCATTACGATGGCCCCAAGCAACGGTGCTGGGCCCACCTGTTGCGGGATATCCACGACCTGGTGGCGCTCTACCCCAAGGACACCTCGCTGGCCCAGTGGGCCGCGGCAGTCCATCAGCTCTATGTCGAGGCCAGGTCTTTCACCCATCCTCAGGCACAACGACGGCGCACCCGCTCAACTGGCCTGGGAGCGGCAGCTGCTGGTCATCTGCCAGCCCTTCCTGGCTGACCCGCTAGCTCTGCAGGGCCGGCTGTGCCGGCGCATTGAGCGCCACATCAAGGAACTCTTCGTCTTCGTGGCCGAACCGGACGTGCCGTCGGACAACAACCCCGCCGAGCGCAGCCTGCGCCATGTGGTTATCAGCCGCAAGATCAGCGGGGGCACCCGGTCGGAACGTGGCACCGAGCGCAAGATGACGCTGGCATCCATCTTCGGCACCTGGCGCGCACGAGGCCTGAACCCCCTCGCCGCCTGCCGCCAACTGCTCACTTCCCCTCAAATCTGAACAGTTACCAGGAATAACCCCGACAGCGCCGCCAGGTGGTCCTTGCGGAAGTCGGAGATGGTGCGAAAGTCCGGCGTGTTGTTCGCCGCCAGCACCCGAAAGGCAATGTCCTCGTGGAGCCGCTGGGCAATGCGCCGTGATGACGCCACCCCGACGCAGTAGCCGTAGAGCAGCACCTTGACCATCATCCGAGGATGGTAAGGCGGGCCACCCCGCCTTTCTCCCTCGTAGCGGGCGGTGATTGACGACAGGTCCAACTGGTCCACCACGTCCGAGATGAAGTAGGCCAGATGGTCGTCGGGCAGCCACTCCTGCAGGGCCGCCGGCAGCAACAACTGCTGATCGGGATCGTAGGGAACGTAGGTCTTGCTCATCGCCGCCTCCTCGCTAATGAACTCCACCCATCATACCCCTACAGACTCACCAGTCGTGTTTCTCGGACGGGCTGCTAGACCTGGAAGAATTCAACCGACACGAACGGCTGCCGACGTAATCCGCGAACCCCAGCCTGGTATGTACAGCGAATGCCGACCCGGCCCGCCGGCAACCATGATGTGAATATCCTCCGCACGGCGCACCACCGGAACCATGGCGTCATCGTCGTTGCGGTCGATCCAGCGCGGCCACAGCGTGTTGCGGTGGGCATGACGCCCGTGGATGCCACCCAGTTTCAGGACGGACAGCGGCTGCCGCGCCAGTTCGTACAGGTACGACCGCACGTCGTTCTTGCTCCATCCGGCGCTGGCAATAATGTCAGCGTGTTTCGGACCCAGCACCAGCAGCACGTCGCCCATCACGTGGATGTTGTTGCAACCGGGTATCGCCATCGACATCGCAAACGTGGTCAGCAGGTCCCTCGGATTGTCGGCTCCGTGGTTGTTCAGGTTGTGGGGCGCTTCCGCCGGGTGCACCGTCACCACCGACTCATCGGGGCCGTAGCCGTGGTCCACGTGATACGGGTCCCAGGGGTTATCCGCCTCGTTTTCAGCGATACAGTAGGTGTATTTGCCGGGGTGGCCGAACGTGGCGCGATCTTCGTCGCCCGGCAGCGCACCGCCCAGATTGGTGAGCGCCAGCTTGACCGCCCGCCCGATGGTTGCGTTGGCCCGGTTGCCCTGCCCCGAAACAGTTGCCGGCGCCATTCATATCCAGGTCCCGCGCAATCGGCCCGTTGACCACCACCAGGGGCGTGGCAATGTGCGTCGAACATTGCACCGATGCCAGGTTGAACCGGGGCAGCAGCAGAGCCTCAATCGCGGCAATCACCACCGGAAAATACTCCGGCAGACACCCCGCCATCACCGCGTTGGTCGCCAGCTTCTCCACCGTCGCCCGTCCGCCGCGGGGCGGTAACTCCCCAACCAGTTCCAGCGCCGACCGACCCGACGCATCAAGAAACGCCCGCACCCGCTCGGCAGTGGGCGGCACGATTGGCAACCCATCAGTCCACCCCGCTTCATAAGCCAGCGCCAGCGCTTCGTCGTATGTATCCACTCCGGTTGTCATCCTGGAGATACCTTACAAATACAGTCTGTCATCGGGAATTACTCGCTCACCCATAGGGTCAATCCCCAGCGTCAGGTCTTCCAGCGTCGTCGGCCCCATCAGATAGTGGTCTGGTGGGCCGAATATGACCCTGGCGATCCCGTACCGGCCCTCGGCGGAAAACCCGGCCACACCCGTTTCGTACTCTACAACCCCGCCATTGGCGATTCGCATCCTTCGCGTTTCAAACGGTTCAATTCCCAGGTCGCGCAAAAAAACTGGCCGGCATCGCCGAGTGTGTCGAACCCGAATCCACCAAGGCATCAACGGTGTCGGCAACCTGGGTGAATGGATTGCTAACCTGCAAACGAACTTCCAACGTGCCCATGCCCGTTCCCTTTTCGTGTCTTCAATCCCCGTGCGTCATTGTACAAGGGTGCGTATACACCAGTCATCCACGTGGGTATTTTCTGAACACGCCTCGATCGTCAGTGCAAAAATCTCCCCGCTCATCCTGAGCCGAGAAACAACAATCGGTGGACAATCAGCGGGTAGTAAATATCGCTGGACAATCCATAGACTCTGGATGCCGCTGGGCCGTTGCTGTTTTGACGTGGCGGTCGCGATTCTCGGCAACCCCCTCCCGTTGGCGATATTCAACCAAACGCCCGGCGAATTGCATGGCGCAATCCCCCGGGCGTCAAACCTGATTCACACCACCGCGCCGGTGGTAACCATTGGTTGGGGCCGCGAATTACTTGAACTTCGGAATTACTTTGTCGGTGAGGATTCGCATGGTGTTCATCACGACATCCCGGGGAACCGATGAAGTCCAGTTGACCTCGAACATGATCTCGTCGGTGCCGAAGTCCTCGCGGAGAACCTCGATCTTGTCGACCACTTCCTCCGGTGTCCCAAACAGGTTCACTTCCTCAGTCGCATCTGGGCTCGCCGCGCCGGCATCGGTGCTCCCGATACCCACCCGGCCGGAGTAATACCGCCTGGCCAGACTCATCAGTCCGTCAACTTCGCGCGTGGCCTCTTCCTTCGTGTCGGCTACCAGCGTCGGTATGCGAACCACGGTGGTGGGTTCGCCGGGGTGTCCGGCATCCCGCCAGGCCTGCTTGTAGCGCTTCACGTCCTCAATCAGTACCGTGGTTCCGCGGAGGTTGTGGGGTGAACTGCCCGCGCCCACGGCGATGCGATAGCCCTGCTCTCCCATGGGTACGAAGCTTTCCTGGCTGTCCACTGGCAACAGCATGGCCGGGTAGGGCTTCTGGTAGGGCTTGGGGATGGCGAGGTACGGCTCGTAGAATGCCGGGTAGTTGTAATACTTGCCTTCGAACCCGGAGAATTGATCCTCGGTCCAAAGCTGCTTCATAACTTCCAGGTATTCGAAAAACTGCTCGCGACGCGTATCGGAGCCACGCGTGCGCCCGCCGGCGCCGTAAATGAAGCGGCCTTTGCTGATCTGGTCAACAATGGCGACCTGCTCCGCGGTCTGGATGGGGTCCTCCATCATCAGGTTGTCGAACCCATATCTCTCGTGCGGGAGCGCGGATGCAGACACCGTCTCACCCGCCTGTCTCATCACCGGCCGGTGGATGGATGACCCAATTTTGATCCTTTCGGTGCGGGCCGCTATCACGGCGGATAGCATCAGAACCTGGGGATCCATGCTCGCCTGCTTGGAGAAGTGGCCTCCCCCGAGCCAGACGTAGTCCCACCCCATCTGCTCTACCGCGTCAATCTCTGCCCAGTTCTGAACGTAAGCCTCTTCCTCAAGGAGCTTCCCTCCGCTATATTCAGCGTCCCAGGGAACCTTGCCTCCCTCATATAAAGCGTTCCACGTGTTAAATAGTCCAAAGTCCATGTTCGCGCCCTCCTCCGTAAGCTGGCGTGTAAGTCCCTCTCTATGCCGTCAATGTAGCACCAGCGGTATACCGGGTCAACGCGAGGGCCGTCGACGGCCGGGGTCTTTCGATTGTCCCCGAATGTCATTGTGAACGCAGCGTGGCAATCTCGTCGCCGCATCGACCAACGCTGTCGCCAGCGCACCTTTGACCGCTACGTTCCGATAATCGAAAGACCCTGCATCGGCGGCAATGTTGGAGGCTGGCGGTCTCACCGTTACGTTGGAACTCCCCCAGCTACCGGCGCCGGTGGTGCCATTGCTCCCATCGTGCCGGCGCGTTGGATCTGGAGCAAAGGTGATCCGATGGTCTCGGCCGTGGTGCTTGATACATCCGTGCGCTGTATCCTTGAGCGGCGTCGGCTTGGCATGATTCTCATGATTCTATGGAAAGCCGGCCGATGACATTCCAGCCTCAGGAGGCCAAATCTTGGAGAAGGTCAGGAAAAATTATCCGGATATCGCCCCGTCGGGGGCCACCTTCAGCCGTGGTGTGCGAGTCGGCAACCTGCTATTCATTGCCGGCTGCACTGCTCGCGGCACCGACGCTCAGGGTAAAGATGTGATGCAGCAGCTCAGGGTCACCCTGGACAGAATCACCCGGATCGTAGCCGAGGAAGGTGGAGATTCCTCCGATATCGTGAAAATTACCACTTTTGTCACCAGCATTCCCCACTGGCGGGCTCATCGCGAAGAGCAGGAAGCGTTGTTCGTGGAGTATTTCCGGGGTGAATACCCCGCCAACACTCTGGTTGAAATCACCGCTCTGGCCGAGGACGGCCTGGACGTGGAGATAGAGGCCATCGCAGAGTTGGGTTAGATTTGGATCGTTAGAGTCGCGTGAAAGGAGGTTCAGGGCCAGAATTTATCCTGTAATCGCAGCACGGGAATCCCCCGGCTGACGCTGTGGGAGTGCCGAAACCAGCCCGCACCCATGCGGGAATCATCGTGGCGTCATCGCCATGGCGTCAAAGGATTTCGTCACCATCTACTGGCGCCGTTCAATTATCGGTGGCGTTTGGTGTGCCCTGACTTGCTTCCAAAATGTTGACGTATGTCAACGTTAAGCATACGATGGTGCCGGTACCGGAAAAGGGACCGACGTAAGCCGACCTACATCGCGGTGCTAATCGGGTAATCATTTGCGTATACCACCTCGGTATGGATGCACACGGTAGGAAACCGTAAAAGAAACGGGGTTGCCGAGTAACAACCGTTGAGACGTATTCAGGAGGAGAAAGAATGGCAGACAAAGACATCGCTTTAATGGCTCACTTGATGCGCCGCGCTGGTTTTGGGGCGACGTATGAAGAACTGGAAGCTCGTGTCGCCCAGGGCTACGAGGCCACTGTGGAAGAATTGCTGAATCCGGACACGCAGCCCGAGATTGAGCGCGACATTCTGATGCGCTATCAGCCACAGTGGGTTTCCCAAGCCGGACTGGAGGGTCAACAGGAAGAATGGACCTTCCGGATGATCAACACCAAGCGCCCGCTAGAGGAAAAGATTGCCCTCTTCTGGCACCAGATTTTCTGCACCGGACACGCCAAGTGCGAATATCCAAAGCAGCAGCAAATTGAGTTCGAAATGTTCCGCACCATGGGCATGGGCAACTTCCACGACCTGCTCCTGGGTTTGTCCATGGACCCGGCAATGATGTTCTACCTGGACAACTGCATGAGCCACAAAGACGCCATCAATGAGAACTGGGGCCGCGAGCTCCTGGAATTGTTCTCTTTGGGCGTTGGAATGGACGGTCTGGACAACTATTCCGAGGATGACGTCCAAGAGTGCGCCCGCGCCTTCACCGGATGGACGGTTACCAACTCGGTACCCAGGTACCCGTACGGCAAGTACGAGGCGGCCTTCATTTATGATCCGTCCGACCACGACTATGGCGAGAAGACGTTCCTGGGCGAATCCGGCAACTGGAACGGCGAGGACGTCGTCCGCATTATCGCCAGGCAGCCCGGCGCCGGCAGGTTCATTGCCAGGCATCTGTACAACTTCTTCGTCGCTGACGAGCCCCAGGTTCCCGCATGGAAGGACACCCCACCCCGGGACCCCGAAGCCGTCAAGATGCTGGAGGACGAGTACTTCCGCTCCAACTATGACGTCCGCTCTATGCTGCGGGTGCTCTTCAACTCCGACTTCTTCAAGGATGCTCGCTTCACCAAGGTGAAGAGCCCCACCGAAACCGTGGTCGGCACGATGCGCCTGGTTGGCGACTTCGAGATGCCCAAACCCGGTCTGAACGCCATGACCCTGACCATTCGTTACATGGGTCAGGATCTGCTCAACCCTCCGACGGTGGAGGGCTGGCATACCGGACGGGAGTGGATCGACAGCGGCACCCTGGTCGAGCGCATTAACTTCACCGCCGACGCAGTGGGTAACACCTCCCACCGTGGAGTACAGGCCATCATCAGCCGCCTGGGTTCCCAGGGAACCACCATCTCGCCGGAACAGTTGGTCGATGGCTGCCTGGACATGCTGGGCGCATACGAGCTGGCCGATGTCACCCGCACCGAGCTGGTGTCGCTGGCCCGCGGCGAAGGCGAGCTGCAGACTGGAAGCGACGAGTTCGGCCAAAGGGTCGGCCAGATGCTACAGTCCATCGTGGCCACCACCGAGTACCTATTCGCGTAACCGAGGAGGACTAAAGAAATGACATCCACCAAGAAAGACCCGGTGCTGGTGGTCCTCCAGTTGTCAGGGGCAATGACGGACTGAACACGATCATCCCTTACGGCGATCCCCTGTATCTGGACAACCGGCCCAACGTAAGAATTCCAATCGACCAGGTCCTGCCTATCAACGACCAGATCGCCTTCAACCCGGCAATGGCGCCGGTGAAGCGTCTGTACGATGAGGGCAAGGTCGCCATCATCCAGGGCGTCGGATACCCCAACCCGAGCCGTTCCCACTTCCGCTCCATGGACATCTGGCACACCTGTGAGCCAGACAAAGTGGGCGATGAGGGCTGGCTGGGTCGGGCCGTGCGCGACCTGGACCCGCAGAAAGAAAACGTACTGACTGGCGTCAACTTCGGGCGCGGTCTCCCCAGGTCCCTGGTGGCCCCCGGTGTCCCCGTGGCTTCGGTAGGAAACCTCGAGACCTACGGCGTGCTGACCGGCATCGAAATCGAAGATCAGCGAGCCAAGGCCCTCGACGTGTTCTCCCGGGTCTACTCGCCCATGATCGGCCAGGGCCCGGTGCTGGACTACTTCGCTCACACCGGACTGGACGCGCTGGAAGGGGCTGATATTCTCAGCACCGCCCCCGCCATGTATTCCTCCAGCGTGGAGTACGGCGGCGACACCGTTGCCCAGTACATGCGCAACATCGCCCAGGTGCATCTGGCCAATTTGGGCACCAGGGTGTTCTACACCACGGCGCCCTACAACAGCTTCGACACCCACGCCGGCGAGCTATTGAACCACACCAGGCTGTGGAACGAGACCTCCCACGCGATTTGCCGACTTCTACGACGATCTGAAAGAGCACAACGCTGGCGACAACGTGGTGCTGCTGGTCTTCACCGAGTTCGGACGCCGGGTTCACGACAACGGCTCCGGCACCGACCACGGTTCTGGAGGCGTGGCCTTCATGGTTGGTGAGTCGGTCAATGGCGGCCTCTACGGCGAATATCCTTCGCTGGAACAGGACAAGCTCCTGGAGGGCGACCTCCACTTCAACAACGACTTTCCGTGGCCTCTATTCCACCCTCCTGGAGAAGTGGATGGGCCTGGATGCCCAACCCATCGTGAACGGCACGTTCGAACAGATGGCGTTCATTTAGTCAGACACTTTGAGGTGAGTATGACTCCCACCAGAATATCGCACGTACAGCTCCAGTACAGCCACACCATCGGGCGTGGCGAGCAGTTCGGGCCCGGTTTCACCTACCCGGTGCATATGGCCCGCGGCGAAGACGACCTGATGTACGTCCTGTGCCGGTCTCCCGAGTACCGGCCCGAAGGCACCCGCATCGCGGTCTGCACCGTTGACGAGGAATACGTCAACGCCTTTGCCCGTGGCGTACCGCAGCAGGGCCCCCACGAGTACAACTTTGAAGACGGTTCCCTGGTCTGGCCCGTAACCGTGGCCATCTCCGGCAATGGTAACGTCTACGTTTCCGACGAATGGATGCATCGGATATCCATCTTCAGCGGCGACGGCGACTACATCGGAAAGTGGGAAGAGCGCCACGGCAGCGGTGAAGGTGAGTTGGACCGGCCCGCCGGTCTGGCCATCGACAAGGACGATAACGTCTTCGTCGTTGATTGCAACAACCACCGCGTCCAAAAATTCACCCATGACGGAAAGTTCCTGGCCCAGTTCGGCAAGCAGGGCGATGGCGATGGCGAGTTCAACATGCCTTGGGGCATCACCATCGACAAACAGGGCAACATATTCATCGCCGACTGGCGGAACGACCGAATCCAGAAGTTCACCGCCGATGGCAAGTTCCTGATGAAGTTCGGTTCCTCCGGATCGGGCGAGGGGGAGTTCAACCGTCCCACCGACGTCGCCGTTGACAAGGACGGCATCATTTACGTCGCCGACTGGCTGAACGACCGCTTGCAGGTTTTTGATCCCGACGGCGACTTCGTCACCCTAAAGACTGGCGACGCAACCGTCTCCAAGTGGGGCAAGGACAAGTTGGACGCGAACCCCCGAGATGTGGGGGGAGCGAGAGCGGGCGCAAGGACTGGAGCGGGAAAAGGACTTCTGGGCCCCCACCGGGGTAGAAGTTGACGATTCCAATGCGGTTTTCGTCTGTGAAGGACCTCGCAACCGCATCCAGGTCTACCGCAAGCAAGCTTCCACCTTCATGGGGCCTCGGCTGTAACCCCTGACGGTACTAGACCCTTTGTGAAGGCCTCCGGAGAGAACCGGGTGAAAGCCTCTTATCTGGCTTCATCGGTGACCAACGGAGGCCTTCTCATGTGTGATCAACGGTCATTATCCGGTGGCGTAAATCAATCGAACTTCCGGCGAGCCTGTTCGTCGTTGTAAGGATCATAGCGACGTGGCAACCCCGGTGGGGAACCTAACCCGTGTTGGGAAACACATTCCCGCCGGAATGCAATTGCCTTGCCGGGCTTCCCTTAACAGATCAAGGTGGGGTCGCGTAGTGGTCGCTTTATCCTGTGCCCCGTCTGGGGTTGGCCCGTCGACCCGCCGTTGTCGACGTGGCAATCGCCGCCGAGTTTTCTACCTTCCGCTCAATACCGGATTCCAAGCTTTCAGGGAGCGAGTATTTGCCATGCCCATCAAGGTAGCCCGTGTACCCAACCTGGAATACGAGGCGTTCTATTTCGATATGGAACGCCGCGGCATTGAAATGCTAAACATGGAAGCCAACGCGGTGGCCGAGGCTCTGGAACTGGGTGAAATAGACGCCGGGCCGGTATCCCTGTTGGACACGTTTCGGGTGGCCCCCAAAGCCAATCCGATCAGCGGCTTCTGCGTCGCGTCGGTCGGGATGGGAGCATCCAGCGTACTGCTTTCAAAGACGCCCATTGAAGACTTGAACGGGGGCCGAATCGCCCTTGGCGACGGCGACCCCACCTCAGTGACACTGTTGCGGGTGCTGCTGGCACAACAGCGCGAAGTAACACCGGCTGCTTTCGTCGATCTGCAGTCGGAACACGATGCTTTCCTGTTGACCGGCAATCTGGCCTTGCGCAACCGTCGGGGCGCGCGCGGATTCCCCCACCGCTACGACCTGGGCGAGCAATGGCAGGCGTGGACGGGTTTGCCCTTCGTATTCTCCCGATGGATGGCCAGTACGGAGATGGAGCGGCAGGACCGGGTTGTGCTCGAGGATGCCCTCTTCGTAGGGCAAGAAGACTGGATGAATAACCTCTACAAATCGATTGGGCCCCGCGACGACCTGCGGATGCTCCCACGGGAAGTGGTGGAGTACGTCCAGGGACTGAGGTTCTTCATCGGAGTGCCGGAAGAACGCGCCATCGCGCTGTTCCAAGACAAGATAGCATTGCTTGAAGATGTTTCAGCCTAAGCTGCCCGGTCGCGTGATTAGTAAACCTTATACTCCTCTAGCACCGCCTCATCCAGGTGCAGGCCCATGCCCGGCTCGGTGGGCGCCACTATTTCACCGTTGTCCCACTCCGGCAGCACGCTGTTGAGCTGGTAGTAAACCGGGTCGCGTTCTTCCTCGAACACCTCAACAAACAGACCGTGAGCGTGAGCCGGCAACAGCTGCACTGCGAGTTGCGGTTCCTCGTGGTGCGCCATCCTGACCCCGCGCATCTGCGCCGCTCCGGCCACGCGCCGCCACTCCGAGATACCACCACAGATCGCGGCGTCCACATTCAGGATGTCCACCGCCTCGGTATCCATCAGGCGCTGGGCGCCCCAAGAACTGCTTTCGCCCTGGCCGGCGGCCACCGCAATGCCCGTCCGCAGCCGCACCTGGCGCATATCGTTGTCGGCGTCCTGCCAGCGACACGGTTCCTCCAGCCAGGCCAGGCCCATCTCCTTAGCCGGCCCTGCAAACTCCAGCGCTTCGTCCAGCGTCCAGGCCTGGTTGGCGTCGCAAACCACGATGAAATCGTCGCCCAGCGCATCGCGGATGGCCCGCACCCGCAGCAGGTCATCGGTAACTGACACTCCGCCCACCTTGAGCTTGACACCACCGATTCCCCGCTCGCGTTGGTGCAACAAATCCTGCACCATGTCCTCGGTGTCGCGTCCCTGCACGTAGTACGCAAACCGCACCACCGGGGCGCGGTCGGCATACCCACCCAGCAGCGACCGCACCGGCACCCCCAGCGACTTCCCGGTAATGTCCCACAGCGCCACGTCGATGGCGGCCACCGCGCGCATGGCAATTGCCTTGTCGGCGATACGCGGCGTCAGCGCAAACATCTTCTGCCAGCACCGCTCGATGGCTGTGGGGTCCTCACCCACCACCGCTTCTTTCATCGGGCCTACCACCAGGTCCTTCAACAGATGGTAACCCGTCCGTTCGTCGCCCGAATACACCTCGCTCACCAGCCCTTCATCGGTATGCACGCGGGTAACGATAGTACAGCGGGATTCGATCTGATACACACTGCCGCTGAAACGAGTGCTCAAGGGAATACGGACGATGTCCGCTTCCACATCGGTAATACGCATAGTTGCACCGCCTTTCATTATTGGGTCGAACAATGGGTCGAACAATGGGTCGAATTCGAAAGAATTATACCGGGTCTGGCGATCCCAATCTTGTGCCTGAAGGCATCGCCCTGAACCAGGCGAGCTCCCTCACAATGCCTTAATATTCCCCGCCGTGCCCGATGGTACAATTCAATAAGAGGTAGATTCACACTCTGTTGGCTCACCCACGAGGCTATCATGAACACCATCAAAACATTTTTCCTCCTGATGATGCTCACCGGATTGCTGCTGCTCATCGGAGCCTATTTTGGCGGTGAGATGGGCATTATCATCGCTGTCGTATTGGCCGTGATGTTGAATTTCGGGGCCTACTGGTTCAGCGACCGGATTGCGCTCGGCATGGCCCACGCCAAACAGATTACCGCCGAGGATGACCCCGAGTTGTTCGCTTTGGTCGCCGAACAGGCTCAATTGGCCAATATGCCCATGCCCAAGGTGTACGAAATCGACACCGATTCTCCAAACGCCTTCGCCACCGGACGCAACCCGCAGCACGCCACCGTCGCCGTAACCACGGGCATTCGGCGCATCCTGACTCGCGAAGAGTTGGCCGGCGTGATTGCTCACGAAATGGCCCACGTGGGCAATCGCGACACCCTCATCATGGCCGTGGTCGCCACCATCGCCGGAGCCATCTCCATGCTGGCGATCATGGCCCAGTTCGCCGCCATCTTCGGCGGCATGGGAGGGGGCGGACGCGACCGCGGCGGCAACATCATCAGCCTGCTTATCATCGCCATCGTCATGCCGCTGGCCGCCACCGTCATCCGGATGGCAATCTCCCGCGCCCGCGAATTTCAGGCCGACGCCACCGGAGCCCATAACTGCGGCAATCCGGAGGCCCTGGCGCGTGCGTTGGAGAAACTGGAGATGGGTGCCGAGGTTCGCCCCATGAAGGTCAATGAAGCAGCGTCCCATCTGTTCATCGTCAACCCGCTGAGCGGGCGTTCCATGGCTAAGCTATTTTCCACGCACCCGCCAATTGAAGAGCGGACCCGTCGCCTCCGCGAGATGAATATCCGCCCCAACTTCTAGCTGAACCAACTCCCCCAATCGACGTGCGGGCGACAATTGTGTCGCCCGCACCAACGTCAATCGAGAACGTCAATCGAGACCCAACCCATCAGAAAATGGCGATGGGATTCACCGGGCTGCCGGTTACGTGCCGCAACCGCAGCGGCCCTATCGACAGCATGAATTCCCATCGGTTGTGGCGGGCTGCCGCCTCGGCGATCTCTTCCAGATTGGCGTTGTCAATCAGCCAAACCCCCAGATACACCAGGCACGCGATGTGCAGCGGTGAAACGATGTTGGCATACTCGTTGGGCCGAATGTCGTTGGACGTGTCGGTGCCCAGCATGGCGATGCCACGCTCCTTGAACCACGGCGCACAGGCCACGTGGCAGGCCACCGACGGCTCCGTTGCTGGCAACGGCCCTTCCACCATGCGTCGGCGGTAGTTGCCCGTCCGCACCAGCAGAATATCGCCTGTCTCTACGGTAACCCCTTGTTGCTTTTCCGCCGCGTCCAGGTCTTCCGGCATCACCGGCGCATCCGGAGGCAGCCAGTCGACACCGCGCACCCGGGCGATGTCCAGCAGAACCCCCCGCGTCACCAGCCCCTGAGCGGTAAGGTCAATCGCATGACTCTGGGCGCCATCTCGGGACGTAACCACTCCCGCCGGCACGCCGTTATACATCAGCCCATCGTAAGAGTAATGCGAAAGCGCATCAATGTGCGTTATGGTCTGGCCGTGAAACACCATGCCGATGAACTCGGCGGCCCCGCGCCGGGAATTGCGCCGCTCCAGCGGGTCGGTATCACGACCCTCGCCGCTGTCCACCATGTACCGCTGCACCTGGAACGTGATGTCCGGCGTGATTTCAGTGGTGATGGGGCGAGCGCAGCTGACCGTTTCTCCGGATTGCACCAGCGCCGCCGCCTGCGTCCGTTTGGCCGGCGTAATCAGGTTCAACGCGCCCAGCTCATCCTGTTGGCCCCAGCGACCCCAATTGTTTTCATTCCGGTACCATTCCAGCACCTCAGCTTCAGTCGGTATGCCTGCGAATGCCATCATTACCTCCAAGGGTTTTTCGGTGTCCATGCCTGGCCCGGGAGTACGCGTAGCTCGGAATATACGAGCGCCCCGGCGGGTGTGGACGCCGGTGTATGTGGACCCGGTCTCATGCGCACCCACTCTGTCATTGCGAGCGTAGCGTGGCAATCCCGTCGCCGTTAGGAACGGCGGTTCGTCGACGTGTGTTCAGCCTCATCGAGATTGCCACGTCCCTCGACGAGCTCGGGGTCAGCGGGCGCTCCGCGCATTGACAGATTAAAGCGGGTATGCGTGAGAGACCCGAGCGTATGTACGTTGACCGCGAGTCTTGCTCCCGCGACGTTGAGCCGCATTCTACACCACGCCAGCCCGCCAAACCCGACGCTGCCGGTGCAGTTTACACCGCCGCGTCCCCAAGCCGGGCTCCGATGAATTGCGGGTATCCGCGCAGGAACTCGGCAGCATCTGCGGCGCGCTTCCCTTCGACTTGCAGCCGCCCCACACTCAGCAGGCCGTCGCCGGTGCCGATGGCAATACTTGACGAACCCGTGTCGACCACCACTCCCGCATCGACACCATCCCCGTCAATCGCTTCGGCTGCCAATATCTTGACCTCGATGCCGTTCCAACGAGCGTGCAGGCCGGGCCACGGGGTGTAGGCGCGCAATCGACGGGCCAGCGTTATGGCCGACAGCGTCCAGTCGACCGCACCGTCCGCCCGCTCGATCTTGGACGTGTAGGTGGCAAGCGCATCATCCTGCGGATTTGCCTGGATAGCGCCAGCCAGCCAGCCGGGTAGAGATTCGTTCAGGAGGTCAACGCCGTCCGTGAACAGTGTAGCCGTCAGCGAAATTGCGTCGTCGTGCCAGGATACCGGCCGCTGCCGCTGGGCGATAATCGGCCCCGTGTCCATACCTTCGTCCAACAGCATCAGCGTAACGCCGGTGGTCTCGTCGCCAGCCAGTATGGCACTCACCACCGGCGACGGCCCCCGGTGTCTGGGTAGCAACGACGGGTGCAGATTCAGGCAGCCGAAACGCGGCAGGCCAAGCACGCCCGGTGGCAGGATACGCCCGTAGGCTGCCACCACTATCACATCGGCCTCGAACCCGGCCAGTTCCGCAACCGCATTGGAGTTTCGCAGCGTCGCCGGCTGCGCCACCGGGATGCCCAGCTCCAGCGCACGTTGTTTCACTGGCGCTGGCGTCAGCGACCGCCCCCGTCCTCGCGGCCGGTCGGGAGGAACGTAAGCGGCGATCACGATTAGCGCAGGATTGGCCGCCAGTCCATCCAGCACCGGTACTACGAAATCCGGTGTACCCATAAACGCAACGCGGCAACGCGACGGGGTCCCGGCAACACCGACGGAATTTGTTCCGGAATTTATTGTGGATCGGGCTGTAAAATGGGTTGACAAGTCTGTCTCCCAACTGTAGATTAAACCTAACCGCGCTCGTGCGGAATTTGAGTAAGGAGGTGAAGGCTAATGAAACACAGTTTAACATGCTGGGGCGATGGTAGGCACCAGTCTGGACACGACGGGGTGAAAGTCTCTTAGCGTCATCGCTTACGAAAAGTTGGCATTTAGCCCGTTCGTCGGGCCCAGACCAGTGTCTACCGTCGCCCCAGGGTTCTTGGGGATATCGGTTTACCAAAGGTCCAGTCTGGGCCCGATATTTTTCACTCAACAGCAAAGTGAATCTCGTCGCTGCGGCGGTACGTTCGCAGTATTAGCCAGAGATCACGCTTTACGCTTCCCAATTTGCAAGTAACGTACCATTCCCTTGCAATTATCCCCCAAATCACTACGGAAATCGTCGTTGGAGTAAAAATGCTACGGATTCGCCTGCGGAGAGTGGGAAAGAAAGGCCGCCCATATTACCGAATAGTCGTCACCGATCAGCGCACCAGCGTGATGAGGGCGCCTACATGACCGCAGCGATGGGCATCGGGTCATTATGATCCTGGGCGGCGTGGCGGTATGACGCTCTGTCTGCGGCGGTATTGCGTGGTGCAGAGCCGTGGACGCAGACCGGGCGGTGGAGTGGCTGCGCAAAGGTGCTCAACCCTCCGACCCAGTGCGTCGCATCCTCGATTTCAACGGCATCCTCAGCAAGGTTCACGCGGATGAAAGATCTGATTGAGTTTATCGCCCAGTCGCTGACCTCAAACCCGGAAGCAGTTCGGGTCACTGAGTCCGACGAAGGCGACCAAATCGTTATACGCTTGGAAGTCGCGCCAGAGGACAAGGGTAAGGTCATCGGGCGGCAGGGACGAGTGGCCCAGGCAATGCGAGTCCTACTCCGGGTAGCCGCCGTCAAAGACGGCACGCGCGCAGTGCTGGAGATTGTCTAGCCGGAATCGCTCCCGGCGCAATCCCCGGCCAACGCCTCACAGTAGCCGGGCTTCAGATGACGCGCCGGCACCGGCAGACCACCAGGTGGTGGTGGTCGCGTGATCAGAAATCACGGACTCGACGGCGCACTGCGTATCAAATGCCATTCCGATAATCCCCAGCGATTCCAGGCCGGCAATTCAGTGACCGTCGGTGACGCCGAGCGCGCCATCGTCTCCTGCCAATCCCTTCCGGGCGAGTACGCCATCCTGCGTCTGGATGGCATCGTCGACGTCCAAACCGCCGAACTCCTTGCCGGGCAGTGGTTATACGCCGCCACCGATTCCGGCCCGGAACTACCCCCCGGCGAGTACTACCATTACCAGCTGGTCGGCCTGCAGGTAACCACCGACGAAGGCGAAAACCTCGGCCAGATCCGCGAAGTCCTGATCACCGGCAGCAACGACGTCTACGTCGTCGAATCCAGCGAAGGCGCCGAGATATTACTGCCCGCGGTACACCACGTCGTGAAGCAAATCGACATCGTCGCCGGACAAGTGCTGGTCCACCTCATCAACGGCCTGCGCTAACCCGCACGCAAATCCGGCAATCCGGGATTCGGCGTCCATTAGCAATCCCCGCTACCTGGTCAGGCGTACGCACTTGTCACCGTACCCCCTTGTCATGCGAGCGTAGCGTGGCAATCCCGTTGTCGTAGCAACGCCGACTCGTCTACGCATGGTCAGGCTCATGGAGATTGCCACCTCCCTCGACGAACTGGGGATGAGCGGGCGCTCCTCGCAATAACAGATTAAAGCGGGTACGCGTGAGATTCTACGTTGGCTTGGTCCGGAGCGACGGTACTTACCCTAATCCCCCACCGCGCCGGCGGCGTGCCGTTCCGAGTGGGCGTGCTGATGCTCGGCCTCGTCGGCAAACTCGTGGTCTTCGCAAGCCACCCAACGGGAGCCGTCTGCGAACCATTCCTTCTTCCAGATGGGCACAATCGTCTTGATACGATTCACCGCCTCGTGGCATGCTTCAAACGCTTCACGACGGTGCGGCGACGCCACTGCAACCACGAGGCTGATGTGCCCCACGTCCACTCGACCCGTCCGGTGGGCGATTGCCACGTCCTCAATGCCGTAATATCGCGCACGCTGCGCAGCAGGCTGGCCCGCAACACAACCCTCTTCAATGCTTCTTCAACAACACCGACCCAGCATCGCGTCGTATCCTCGTATGCGTCCAGCCGCGTACCGTCTTGCCGCCAAAATTATCCCGGGTGGTGCCCAGAAAGGTGACGACGGCCCCATTGCCGTCGCGCCGCACCGATTCGGTGACTGCATCCGCATCCAGTGGTGCGTCCGTCAATATGATCATCGTTCGAGACCTCCACTAACCGCGACCCCCGCTAACGGGAGGTATCAGGCACACTTCGTCGCCCGCCTGCAAAGTCTGGTCATCGTCAGCATACTCGGCGTTCACCGCCACCACAATGCGTACTTCGGGCGGCGCCAGTCGGGGATAGTCGGCTCGCACGGCAGCCGTAAGGTCGCCCACCGTGCTGTCGTCCGGCAGTTCTACCGACACCAGCGCAGCCCCGGCCCTTTCCCGATACAGCGCAAACAGTCGTAACTCAATCCGCACAAAAATCACGCTGACATTATGGCCGTATGCCCACGCGCGCGCGTCAATCAACCGCCCCACCCACGTACAGTTTCCGACTTGGAGAATGCGATTGGCCGCAGGTGGTTTGCCCGGGTTGCTGGACAACGATGGATGTGGTGATTTCAATCAGGGGAGTGGATACCGAGATTGACCTGACCGCCGCCGACCACGATGTTCTCATCTCGGTCATCGCCGAGTTGCCGGCCACCGTTCTGGAGCAGCGGAGGGTGATTGAGCGGTGCGAGCGGCGTATTGCCGAGCTGGAAGGTCAGATCAAACCGGGCGGCCCGTCCCGAATGCCTGGCCTCAAGACGAAATCGGGCCGGCAGCCACCGGCGCAACAAGCACCCAGCAAGCAACGGCGTCACGGTTTCGCCCGCCCGCGCTTGACGCCCACCCATCGGGTGGAGCATGTGGTGGAGAACTGCCCCGATTGCGGAACCCAGTTGTCCGGTGGCTGGACCCAGCGCACCCGCGAAGTCATCGAGTTGCCCCTGGTTCCGGCGCAAGTTGCCGAGCACGTCTACATCGCCCGAACCTGCCCAGTGTGTCAGCAACGCCGGCTGCCCCAGGCGGAACTGGACGGCGTGGTCATGGGTC